TGAGGTCATCCATTACAATTATATTGGTGTTTATCTGACTTTTTATATCTATTAGTGTTTGTTATGAAATTGGGCATGGTATTTAGTGCTTATACATTTATAATTGTTATCTCTTCCTGTTGAACTGTTCCCTTCACTAATACGTAGTAAACTTCTTTGTCTCTTCTGATCAATTTTGGCTTGAAATCCACTTTGACTGAAATTAGAATAGCTACTCCTGCTTTTTTACAGGTTCCTGTGGCATGGACTATTGTTTTCCATTATTTTATTTATTTATTTATTTATTTATTTATTTATTTATTTTTGTCTTTTTGAGACAGGGTCCCACTATGCAATTCAGGCTGGCCTTGAGCTCACTTTATAGACCAGGCTGATCTCAAACTCACAAGGATCTTCCTGCCTCAGCTTCCTGAGTGCTGGGATTACAGGTATATGCCACCATACCCAGCCTATTCTTTGATTTTTTGATTTTTCCAGTACTGGGAATCAAACTCATGACCTTGCGCTTGCCAGACAGGTGCTGTGCAACTGAGTTAAATCCCCAGCCCCAAATTCTTTGATTTTTAATCTGTAAATTTCCTTTTGAATTAAATGTGCTTCTTGTATACTCCATATTGTTGGGTTTGTTTTTTCATCCATTCTGCCAATCTGTGCCTTTAATTGGGAATTGAGACCATTTACATTGACAGTATTACTGACAAGTACTGACTTATTCTTATCACTATTCTCTTGTTACTGATTTTTCCCCCTTTTGCTTAGCTACTCATCTTGCCAGGTATTCATTCTTTTTGAGTATTTGACATTGTTGGCTCCATTGTCTCTTCCTAGGATATCCCTGGGAATTTTTTGTAATGTTAGTTTGGTGTCAGGAATTTTTTGAGGTGCTCTTTGTCATGGGAATATTTTATGTCTCCATTGATTTTGAAGGAAGGTTTTGCAGGATACATAGTGGGGATTAGAAGTTGTCTTTTAAGGCTTGAAACACTTCACTCCAAGGCCTCCTGGCCTTTAAGGTTTATGTTAAGTCTGCTATAATTCTAAGGGGTTTACCATTATATGTGATTTGTTGCCTTTCTCCAACAGCTTTTAAGTTTGTCCCTGTGATGAACTTTTAGTACTTGTAGTATAATGCGGCACAGAGAGGTTCTCTTTTGGTTGTGGCTATTTGGGGTTCTGTATGTCTCACCTACCTGTATGTTTATTTTTTTCCCTATATTTGGGAAGTTTTCTGCCATTATTTTGTTTTTTCAGTTCAAAAGCAAGACAAGGTCCTACAGCAAAAACCTAAAGAACACTCACAAGCTAACCCTGCCCCAGCTGTGTCTGTTACTGAGTTCAAAAGAAAACAGGGTCTCAAACCACACAGAGGGGTTCCAAGACTTGGAATCCCAAACAAAAGGCGGGAGGAAACTAGACATCTTCTTGGACAGCCCCACAAGCTTCTCAGCAAACTGCTCAAGCTGTCTTGCCAGCCTCACAGCCTCAGATTCTTGGTCTCTGTGCACTTGGCTTTTCCTTCACTGCAGCTCCTGATCCTATGCATGTGAGGGCTCTCTGTTTTATTCTGCATACTGTTAGATCATCTCACTGTAAGCTTCTCTCTAATTTATAAACAAGGCTCCAAGCCAAGGTCAGAAGGAGAGCAGACTTGGGGGAGGGGACCAGATGGGCTCAAACTACCATTCTCAGTGACTCACCAGGGAGCCAGATGCTGCATCTCGCGTTGATCCTGTGTCTCATGAGGGAAGACAAAAACAGCCTCGACTCCAGCACTGATGAGACATTAGCTAGTCTCATCTACCTTTTTAGGTCTCCAGAAATCACCAGCAGAAAGCCAGGTGCAGTGACACCTATAATCCCAGCACTCAGAAGGCTGAGGCAGGAAGATCACCATGAGTTAGAGGCCAGTCTGGACTGCATAGTGAGTTCAAGGCCTGCCTGAACTACATAGTGAGAACCGGTGGAAGGAAGGAAGGAAGGAAGGAAGGAAGGAAGGAAGGAAGGAAGGAAGAGAGAGAGAAGGGCTGGGGATTTAGCTCAGTGGCAGTTCAATTCCCGGTACCCGAAATGGAAGGAAGGAAGGAAAGAAAGAAAGAAAAAAAAGAAAAAAGAAAGAACTGGCAGAATGGAGGCAAGTTTGTAGTGTTTAAGGAGGAAATGCAAACTAACTTTACAGTTCCTTTGCCCCCAGAAAATGAGTAATTTTCCTTTCCCTTTATCACCCCGCATACTTACAAACTGGTAGCTAAGTCCTTTCTACAAACATCTGAATACTAATGACCATGATTGCTATCACTGCATTCTTAACAAAGTCTTTTCAAGACAATTGATATGCAATGACCATTTGCAGAAGGTATTGTTAGGCCATTTTGTAAATAAGGAAACTGAAGGAGAAGGAAGTCATTTCTCCAGGGTCACAGAGCTCATAAGTATCCAGGCCAAGATGTCAGAACTTATATTCTATTCTCTTTCTTATTATAAAGTTTTTCAAGCATGCAGAAAAATCAACTATATAACAACTAAATATGTCACCTAGATTAAACATGAACTGTTTAGTATTATTTTTATCCATGTGTATAAATTTATTTTTGTCAAACTATCTAAAAGTTGCATACATCACGACACTTCTCCGATGTCTACATGTAGCTCCTAAAAGTAAGAACATTCTCCTTCATACCACAATATTTCTTTTTGAATATGTATAAAATTGGATTTTATTTATTTATTTTTTTTTTGGTATTTTTGAGACAGGGTCTCGCTATGCAGTTCAGGCTGGCCTTGAGCTCACTTTATAGCGCAGACTGGTCTCGAATTCACAACGATCCTCCTGCCTCAGCCTCCCAAGTCCTGGGATTACAGGCGTGCGCCACCAGGCCTAGCTTGGATTTTATTTTAAAGAGAAAAAATAAACAAGATTTCAAAACAAGATAACATGAGGGTAACATTATGTATTGTTACCTTTAACTTAGTTACTCAGAGTACAAGATATAGGCATTTAATTGGCCAAACAATATTAGCACAGAGCCTGTAATTCCAGCACTCAGGAGGTTGAGGCAGGAGGAGTGTTGTGAGTTCAAGACCAGCCTGGGCTACAAAGTGAGCTCAAGGCCAGCCTGAACTGCATAGCGAGACCCTGCCTCAAAAAAGACCAAGAAAAAAACTAGAAAAATTAGCACAGAGCTGGGAAGATAGTTCAGGGGCATAGCACCTGCCTGGCAAGCATGAGGTTCTGAGTTCAATTTCCGGTACCGAAAAAAAAAAGAAAAATCAATACACAACAATATTAGCACAAACCTTTCTTTTCAATGAACAAAGAGAAATCAGTAGTATAACTATCAACTTTCTTGCATACATATGCTTTTTGCTTTTCCCTTCTTTTCTCCTTTCCTCCTCTTCCTCCTTTCCTCCTCTTTCCTTTTGAACATACTGTTCAAAAACCATTCACCGAATGATTTTAGCATCCACAGATGATCTTTGCTAGGTTAATAATTTGACTAGTAATTTACTATTTTATCATTCTCTCTACATTTATAAGATGGCCTTCTGAGAAGAAGAGTTTTTCTTCATCAAATGAGGAAGAACTATGGTTTTTGTTAATTATCAAGCCATTCTGAGGTGGAGGTCAGAAGGAAATTTAAGATAATTAGGTCCAGCCACCTGTGCCAATACTTAGGGCACTGTTAGGACTCCCCAACAAATGCTCTTCAGCCAGTGAAGAAACGGATTCACAGGGAACTCACCTCCCTTGGACGTCCATTGTGTCACAGAGTTACCCCACACTGAGCTGAGCAGTTCTAGCTTCTCTCTTTGGAGCCTACGCACCTCTGTGAAACTCAGGCCTAAAAGATAATTCCTGGGCTGAGGATATGACTCAGCAGTGCAGTGCCTACCTGGCAAGTGCAAGGTCCTGAGTTCTGATTCCTGGTACTGCCACCACACACACAAAAAATTCCTTCTTGTCCCCTTGCTCATATTTGAACTGGTAAATCTATTTTCTGGATGTAACTGGGTTTATTTACCAAATACTCTACCATGACTCACAAGGCCCTGGTGCTTTTTAGGCCCCTTCAAATATTAACATAAAAATAAAAACACAAACACATTTGGCCTGAGGTTTTAATTTCTACCTACAGTGAAATTTATCTCGAACTCCTCCTACTCCTGTTCCCCACATACAGACGGCTGCCAACCCAGCCCATTCCACCTCCTAGAATTCCCATGTACCCACCAGTCCCTCAGTTCTCCATTTCCCCTGACACTGGTTTGGGTCCCCATTCAACTGCTGTGACCTAGCCAGACACTGTGCTGCACAACTGTAATCCCAGTATTCTGGAAGGCTGAGGAAGGAGGATCACAATGTTGAGCCCAGCCTAAGCAACTTAGCAAAGCCCTGTCTCAAAATAAAAACCAAAAAAAGCTAAAGATGTAGCTTAGTGCGAAGACCCTGGGTTCAATACAGAAGTATGTCAACCAACGAAACAAACATAAAAATCTGTAACCTGAGCAAGTATAATGCTCTAACCCTTCCCAATTTCAGTGCCTCCTATCACATCTGTCCTCCAGCTGCTCACCAGCAGTCTTCCCTATGTGGCAACCTCAACTGCCTATTGCCAGCATCCAGCACGGCCCCCAGCATACTGTAGTCCCTCAGTAAATGGCCCTGGGCATCTGGGGGAAACTAAAGTGACTGATTGAGCTGCTTGACAGGAGGAAATTTCCCTGAGTTTTAAACGAAAGTTACTTTATATAAAACACTGTTTAGAAATTTGCCTAACAAACCATTTTGAAATCTTTGGTCAGCTCATGTGTATAAATAAGTCATATTTAAACATTTTTTGTTTGCTTTGATTTTGTGGTACTAGGGATCAAACCCAGGGCCTCATACATGCTAGGCAAGTGTTCTTGCACTGAGCTGTACCTGAGCCCTTTATTCTACATTATTTGACAACCAGTTGCACAAAAGTTCTCATTGCATGCATTCTCTTTAGGGCTCAGACTTTCTAAAGAATAAACTGCATATGAAGTAAGGAATAAAATACAGACAGTAAATACTGTTAAGTGCAAAATGCTTGGATTCAACAAGAATATAGAAAAAATCAAAACAACTTCACCAAATACTTCAACCAACCAACGAACCAGACAAACAAACGAAAAACCTCTGGTAATACATCTATTGGACTAACAATCAAACTTGAAAAGCCAGTGCTGGCAAATTGGCAGGTGGCTGGTTCACTTCCCCATGGAAACAGACGGTGGCACTGCAAACCAGCTCAGGCCTTCTGGTGAACAATCTGATCTCAGATAATAACTGTAAGCTTCTCACAGCCTTGGGTCCAATGATTCAACTGGAGGAGTATTTCCTAGGGACATAATTTAAGGTGCAACAAATTTCCACACTATGTGTACAGTACTAGTAACAATGAAGACATATTTCAAATTCCCCAAACAAGGGAAAAAAACCAAGCTAACCATATGGCCCTGTGTACATCAACACAAGGGTATATTAGGAAGTCACTTAAAGTCACAAGAATATGTTCTATGTCAACAAAGGAAGGTACACAGTCAGTCTTAGAAGCAGTGCCTGATTTCATATCTTAGCATGGTCACTCACTAGCCACGTGACCTCAGATAACTGATTTAAGCCCCTAACATTCCAGTTTCAACTTATGTGTCTAATGTGGATATTACAAGAATCCATAGCTAATAACACGACCTAATCCATAAAGTTTTTATGGCGTTGATATGAGATGATGCCTTCAGAGTGCTTGGCATATTACTTGATACGTAGTATGTTCCCCATAAATATCAGCAATTTGCATACTTTAATTATTGTAATATTTGTTGATCATGCACTATGTTCCTGTCACTGCATCAAGGGCACCCATTACATTTAGTCTCTATAACAACCTTACAAACTAAATGCTATTATAAAGAAAAGTTAGCCGGCGTGGTGCAGGCTTGTAATCCCAGCACTCGGGAGGCTGAGAACGAGGCTGAGGTAGGAGGATCGTTGTGAGTTCAAGATCAGCTTGGGCTAGAAAGTGAGCTCAAGGCCAGCCTGAACTGCACAGCAAGACCCTATCTCCAAAACACAAAAAAAGAAAAGAAAAGTTAAAGAAATGAGCCCAGAGGATCTATGTACATAGGGTTAGTAAAGATAAGGTACATAAGACAGTAAGTAGATCCCAAACACAAACATGTAAATTTAAATGTACTCATATACTTGCAAAGATAGGCACAGTTAGAACTTAGTGATCATTAGGTCCACCTTGTTTAAAATTAGCCAAGTGTCTTTGTCTTTTCAGGTAGAAGCAAGCAGGTACGAGATGGGCCCAGTCCTGCTGCCTGTACTGGCCCATGTGCTTCCTTCTCGCCAGCAGGGACCAGGCCTTGAATTAAATGTCACTTGGGTGCTTCTGACCAGCAAGTGCTTACCTGGAGGAGATAGAGGAGTCCTGGGACAAACAAGGTGATTGGGTACAGAGACTGGTATGTTGCTAAGGCAAGAAAAATAGCACTGAGGAAAGCACTGCCTGTAAAAAGACATAAACGCATGGAATAATCGGGCCTCATCAATCAGGATTAGACTCACAAGTCCCCATCAACACAAAACTTACCATAACTGCTTGGATAATCACTGCTGTGGTGCTTTCTAATTTGCAGGTACAATGCAAACAACACAGAGAGCTTCTTAGCTTGATTTTACTTGCAAAGAAACTAAGAAAGTCAAACCATCTGCCTTTAGCAGCCTGAGACTCCAAGGCATACTTTCTTGTAAAATTTTCACACCCAGAAAAATTTTACAAAACTTCAGCCCAAAGATGTATAAAGTCCATTAATACTCATGCCCTATTTAATGTCTCAACTTATTAAGTCTCCACTTAGGGTTTATGATATTTAGAACTGTGGAACTGAGCCCTCTGGATCTTTTATTTATTTATTTATTTTTTTATTTTAAAGAGAGTAGTAAATGAGAAACAAACAAACAAAGAAATAGAACAGTAGCAGCATACCAGTATCACAAACATAAACAAATCAAAGCAAGAACATTCAAAGTGATACAGTCTCAAGACAAAATAATACGCATCAACAGTGGTTGTTACATTACATATTGCTATCCTCTATCACACTTCTTCCTTATGTGTTATCTTGAGGTCATATGTTTCTTTTTTCTTTTTGTGGTACTGAGGATTGAACCCAGGACCTTGTGCATGCTAGGCAAGCCCTCTGCCACTGAGCTATATTCCTAGCCCTATGTGTTTCTTTTTCTATATTAAAGCACATTTGAGGGGAAAGAGGGGGCAGGAATCACTATGTTGCCCAAGTTGGTCTCAAATTTTTGGACTCAAGTGATTCTACCAACTTACCCTTAAGTAGTGAGGACTATAGGAGTCCATACTATACTATCAGACTTAAGTATATTAATTTTTATTAATAATGTCCCCATTTCTAACACATAATGGCTAACTAGCACTCAGGAGGCTGAGGCAGGAGGACCACCACAAATTCAAGGCCAGTCTGAACTACATAGTGAGAGCCTGTCTCTAAAAAAA